CTGAAAAGGCTCCATGCTACGTGGTTCTATCCAAATGGCATTCTAGAAAAGGCAAAACCATGGAGACAGAAAAAGATCAGTGGTAGCCAGGAGCTTGGGGTGGGGGTGGGGGAATGAGGAGACGGATCACAGAGCATTTTGGGGCTGGGGATCTTCTCTGCCTGATACTGGAATGGTGGATACACGTCATCATACATTTGTCCAAACCTGCAGAATGTATAAAACCATTTGGGTTACCATGATGTGTCAATGTAAGTTCATCAACTGTGTTAAAATTATTAATTAGGCAGGATGCAGTGGCTCAAGCCTGTAATCCCAGCACTCTGGGCGGCCAACGTGGGTGGATCACTTGAGGTCAGGAGTTCAAGATCAGCCTGGCAACATGGTGAAACCCCATCTCTACTAAAAATACAAAAAATTAGCCAGGTGTGGTGTCGTGTGCCTGTAATCCCAGCTACTCAGGAGGCTGAGGCAGGAGACTCACTTGAACCAGGGAGGTGGAGGTTGCAGTGAGCCAAGATCACACCATTTTGCACTCCACCTGGGCGACAGAGTGAGACTTCATCTCAAAAGAAAAACAGAATCATTAATTAGGAGGCCATTGGACTGAGGTGGCCCAAGTGGCCTCGTGTCCAACATAAGCAAGCCAAAACCTAACTCAGAATTGAAAGCGAAACCTGAGCACAGCCAGTTACAGGCAGTCAGCTGGGCAAAGTTCCCACTCAGCACAGACAAGGCCACTGCCCCAGCATTCAGCAATCGGGATTTGTTTCTTCTACATTTACCTAGAAGAACTTTTCTCTCAGTGGATCCCTGCAGCCATCTGATTGGCACAAACACACACTAACAGTCTAATGCACTCATGTTCGTCTGTCAGCAGTTGCAGTGAACGCACAGCTCTGGAGGGGTGTCAACAGTGGGGGAGGCACGTGGTAAATCCTGGGCCTCTGCTCGGTGGTGCTGTGAGCCTAAAACTGCTCTAGAAATCACACTTTATTAAAGTCACAAGAAAGATTTGGATTTTGTCCAAAACCACGATGGCTGGCTCACATCCCTGCACCACCTGGGGCACCTCTTCCTCTATTCTCTCCCACAGGGCCTTTCTGGGGAGACTCGGGCTGTGGCATCAGGGTGGCCTTGGGGCACGACCACAGGCTGGAACCACGTCCACGGCACGGAACTGTGGTGGTGAGCGTGGGACTCGGATGTCTCAGGGCTGTGTTAACTGCCAGGTGCTTCATAAACTGGGCAACTTCGGTGTTTAGCTCCATGGTTAGATCAGGAAACCTGTTTGCTGTGAGAATTGAGAGAGTCTGAGGCATGGCTGCATCTGGTTCCCACTGCTCAGACCCTCGAGACTGACCATGCCCAGGAGGAAGGAGGGCCCCCGTGGAGGCCTCCGGCTCTGGATGCCCGGCACTGCCCGGCCCCGGCCCCATGACCCACACACCTGTCCTGCTGCTCAGCTCGCTGCTCTTGGCCTCCTCCACCTGGGCTGTGGGCTTGCTCCTGCCGAAACTCTGGTGACTGACCACCCACTTGAGGATGCTGGATGCCATGGTATGCCGGAAGTCATCTGGAAGGACAGCACAGCCTCATCCTCTGCTCTAGCCGGAACTGAAGGACAGCATGGCCTCACCTTGCACCTGAGCCTGGGCTGGGGACTGGAGTTGGGACCAGGGCCTCAGAGGCTCCAGCACCCGCCCCACTTCCTGCCCTCACAGCTGGTGGAGGCCAGGCCTGCTCCCACAGCCCACGCTGCCTGTCCTTCTCCCCCCAGCAGCTCTGTGACTGCAGCTGTCCAGCTGCACCCCTTGGCCTCCAACCATGGAGCTCGCCTCACCCCAGCGGCTCGCACACTGTCCCCAGGCCCAGAGGCAGGGCCACACATTTGGTGACTGCCCGCCCTCCCACCCCTCCACCCCTGGCCCCTGCACTGCCATGACCATGGCCTCTGTCCTCTGTCCTCAGACCTGGCACTATCAATCTGTCTCGGTGCCAGGAGGATCTTTCCAGAAGCCTCTCTGCTGACAGCACTGGGCCCTCTGCCCCGTCCCACGCATTGCTGTGTCTCAGAAGGCAGAGCATGCATTGCATGGGGCCTACAGGCCAGGTGTTGAGCAGCAAGGTGACCATGTCCAGCCCAGCCAAGATGGGCATCACTCTGAGCTGGCACAAGCCAGCAGGGCCTCCCCCGCCCGCCCTGACCAACACCTGCTCCGCAGACGCAGTGCCCCTCCCCCTTCCGAGGTTGCCCATGGAAGTTTCCAGATGAGCCCTTGCCAGGGCACCAGAGGTGCTAAGCTGGGGTGCTGGCTGGGACCCGGGTCCGTGTCACTCACCCAGAAACTCCTGCTGCTTGCTGTCAGCGCAGAGGCTGTAGCAGCATGGGAAGAAGGAGTCGGGGTTCACCGGGACGTACCACGGCAGGCTCCACATGTTCACGCACAGCCCGATCTCCAGAGACAGCTGCGTGTTAGGCCCGAGGGGCAGCTCCGCTCCGCATCGCTCGAAAGGCAGGACCCGGCATCCATCTCAGACTCGCCTGACCGCCAGGCACCACAGGGCACCCCTGGGGCAGACCCCTCCCACTCCCCGTCCCCAGTCTCTCAGCCCCTCAGGGCCCCAGGCCAGGCTCTGCACACAGGGTCTTTGCAGAGGCCATGTTTCCACCAGCATGGCTGGCCCTGGCCTGACCCGGAGGAGGCCTTGGGGTGGCAGGTGTGGAAGGGCACCTTATCCCCTGCCCCTGCCCCATACGCTGTGCTGAAGCAGCCATACCTGGCCTGCTGATGGGGCCCCTGTGCCAGGAAAGCCCCTCTGCCCTACCTCTCCCTCAGCAGGGTCCCCACACCCTGCATCCTGGCCAGGCCCCAACCCTGGGCCTTGGTGGAAAGGTGTGGCAGCTGCCTTGTGCAGGGCCAGGGACGGGGGAGGCAGGAAAGTGCCCAGTGACGTACATTCCCAGTCAGGTACCCCCGCAGTGGAAGGCCACACCCCTGCCCCTGGGGACCCACAGCCCCTTCAGGGCCCAAAGCTCAGTGGCAGCTCCCACTCAGCCCATCTTTGGCTTGGCCTCTGTGTCCTGAGGCCCCAGATTCATCCAGAGACACAGAGCAAAGGGCCCAGGGGTGCTAGGGGTGGGGTGGGCACTGAGTGATTCTGGCCATGGTGTTAGAGCAGGAGTCCCAGGAGGCACCCAGGAGGTGAATGGTGGCCACCTATGGCCACCCATGGCCACTGACCAGCCGCCAGGTGTCCCTAGGGGCTGCAGAGGCCCCTCCCCCCACCCTTGCAGGCTCCTGCCAGCCCCCGGCCACCCTCAGCAGCGGCTCGCCTTGGCGGTGAAGGAGACGGTCTTGGCGTTGTGGTTCAGCATCTGGTCACAGGTCAGGTTGTGATGGTCAATACGTCCCTCTTGATGGTCCAGAGGAGGTAGGGCATCTCGTTTTTTACCAACCTAGACTGGCAAGAAGAAAGTCTTTGTTGATAGGCAGCAGTCAAGGTTCATGCCAGCCGGGACGTGTTGGAGCGAGGCGAACATCAGAGGATAAATTGTGCGCAGCGTGAGGCTCCCAGCCGTGCTCCTTGAGGGCCTCCTGCACACGGGGCCTGGGGCACAGCCAGGACCACACAGGGTTCCACTCAGGGGCCTGGTGCTCTGGGGAGCCACCCCTGATGTGGGAGCTGCAGATGGGACCTGAGCCCTCCACATGGG